CCCTAGGTACTGAGAGCAGAAAAGACATACTTTTCCATCAATAAATACCTGAAGAATTGCAAAGCATTTTTTGGAACACGAAAATCTGTAGGCTTTCTTTAGTTCTTCAGCACTCTTAAGCTGACAAAGAAGAGTTTCGTACTATGCCCCAAATAGGATAAATCTGTTCAAAACCTTTAAACAAAACAATATGACAAATAATTCAAGCTGATGAATGGAAGAGAATAAAAGAAAAAAGATAGAAAACCTGTAAACCCACAAGATAAGAAATCTGTTAGAAATAGTGATAATAGACAAAGGTCTTTCCTGCCAACAAGCCAATGGGAAGAAGAGAAAAATGATTCAGATACCTGAATCTTTCTGTTGCTTTCCATGGAACGCCCTTCCCAGGAAGCATTCAGGTGGTAACAGTGATGATAAAAGCACCTGGGAATGGCATTACAGGCCATTTAAATCAATTACATTTTCTGAGCACTTACTAAGCATTTTACAGGAATTATTTCATTGAATTCTCAACACAGCTCTGTGAGGTTTATTCTCATGTAGAGATGAGAAAATTGAAACTTAGTCATTAAGGGACATGTGTAAGGTGGCACAAGAGACACAGCTAATTCAAACCCAATCTGTCTCATGTCAGAACCACATCATCAATCACTACATTATCGCTATACTGCTCAAATGAGATACATACATGTCAAAGTAAATAAAATATATGGATGGTATGGCATTTGTGAAACTAATAAAGGACTTTTGAAATAACATTTTCATGACTATTCATTGTTATTCTATTATTCTCTAGACTTTAAGACTTTTTGCCCCTGGCAACACCCAAAAATATGTATATGCATATATATGTATTTTACACAGTGATCTATTACATACATATGAAATATTTGTTTTACAAAACTACATTCATCCTTACTACATGCAATATATTCTGATACATTCTACTCTACCTCTTTTTTTAATGCTGGAATTGATTTCATGACCCACGAATAGGTGGCATCTTACAATTACCACAAAAAAAAAAAAATCACAACTCAGCTCTGGACCATAGGTGCATGCATGTTTGGGAATACAGACAGAGTTAATATGGACATCCTGTCAGGTTGATATATAAACAGGTATCCTGGGAGAAGAGTAAATAAGATACATATGTGGGAAATCACTCGGCACAGAGTCTGGTACAAAGGGGTATTTGGTAAATAACTTTTCACAAAACCTCCTGCAGCACTACTATTCCCCAATATTTAGAGAAGTGAAGCTATACTACCAACATCATAAGCTTTATAGTCAATGAGCTGCCAGCCAAGGCTGATATTATGATTCTCAACCAACATCAAAGAATGAAAGCGTACTACCTACATGACCTTCCTGATGAAAGCAGCTGCTTGCAAGAAAACCTTTAATGAGCCATTTTGATACACACATTTCTTAAGTATATTAAATATTGACCTGACTCGTTAAAAGGACTATACAGAATTTAGCCTTTTCAAGGACCCAGGGTCATACTTACACAAACACAATGGTAAACTTTAGAACTGGTAGATAGGTCACCTAATTAAAATCTCCCACTTTACAGATGAACAAACTGGTGTCACAAGAGGTGATGCAATTTGCCCAAAGTCATCCAGTAGAAAGGTCAAATGATTCCCATTACACCATGCTGCCACATCTACTATTGTACTATGTCAAGCACTATCTAGCAAGATAGTTACAAGTTAGGAGCAATTCTCTTTGTAATCCCTCCCATGTTTGTTATTTTGGTTATCTCATCTCCTTCCCCATAATCTTTAGCAATAAAACTCTTAAAAAGGATCTGTTTATCATCTGCAGGAAAAAGTTTAAGCTAGCCCACTCCACAGCCCATCTCTAGGAAAGAACTCCCAAAATATAATTGTGTGGTGTACTTCAGAAAGGAAAGGGATGCAGACTGAATCCCTACGTGGTCTTCAGAGAGCAAGAAGGATGCAATGAAAAGCCCAGGTTGGCTTAAGAACAGTTCTGAGGATGTGACTATGAGGAACCCCAAATAGTCTCTGAAAATAGGCAATACAGTAAACTTTACAAAGGCAGGGACTAGGTTCTCAGTAAATGTGGGTTGAATACTCTGAAAATTGAGTGTTACTATATAAACTGGTCCCAGGCCATTTTTACCACTTGACGTAGGCTTGCAATTTAGGTGTCTCTACCCTTTCCCATTAGGATATGAACTATCACTTATGTCTAACGACATCCCCCAAACACAGCTTTTGCAGAAGCTAGTAACAGTCTCTATATCTTCTACATGGGATGTTTCTAATATGCCCTGAGCACACTGGAATTACTTCTAAAATAAGAATATGCTCTAAGTGAGGGCCTGAAGGATTCTACATTGTAAGAAGCATGCCAATATTATCACAGCTCTCCAAACTTTCAGCTTGCCCACTCTTCTGTTGAATTGTTGGCTCTGATACAGATTGCAGATTACACAGGTTGCCAGATATCACCTCCAGTGAGGTGTTATGTTACTGGGGCTATTTTTAACCTGAAACCAATGATACTTCTCTACAACCCACAAAATTATCCAGTATCTTTTTAAATGGCAAAATGTCTTGAAAATGATGACAGTGTACTCCAAACTGAAAGCCACTTTCTAAAACATCACTTATATCCAGCTTTGTCCTCTCCTTTAAGACTCTAGATGGCTCGCCTTCCTTATTCCATTTTCTTCTATATTTTTCACAGCTCAAGTACTTTTATTTCTCTGCCTTTGAGTATTTGACAAATATTTCCTGTATTTTGTAATCAGAAAGAAACAGATGTAACTAAGAAAATACATACAAAACTTTATCTTCCCATAATCTCTTCAAAACATATCTTAAGGAAAATCTTGTGATATAAAAAGTAAAAAAAAAAACTAATTAAGGACAAAGGGATTTAAATATCACCTACAGATGTTTTTACTTGAAGCAACTGTCTCTTGATATAACTAGAGCTAAATCTAAAAGAAAAATTACATTTCATAGCCTATTTCTTCATGTTTGTGATACATGCATGATTAATTCTACTTTTGTCAGTAAAATTGAATCTAAGAAATGCTGGCTTTTCCTAAGATTAACTCAAGCTAGTATTTAGTAATGAAAACAGGGATGTCTGGGTGGCTCAGTGGTTCAGCGTCTGCCTTCAGCTCAACGTGTGATCCCAGGGTCCTGGGACAGAGTCCCACATCAGGCTAACCATGGGGAGCCTGCTTCTCCCTTTCTCCTTCTGCCTAGGTCTCTACTCCTCTCTCTGTGCCTCTAATGAATAAATAAAATCATAAAAAAAAGAAAAGAAAACATATATATATGTGAGTCTCCATACCCAGTGTGGAGCCTAACATGGGGCTTGAACTCATGACCCTGAGGTCAAGACCTGAGATCAAGAGTTAGATGCTTAACCGACTGAGCCACCCAGGTGCCCCTAATGCAAACATTTTTAAGGCTATTATCAGCAAACTATTTCAGAAGAAAAGTATTCCAAATACATTAACAATAATTCAAATAATAATTGGAACCATTTAGGAAATGACTTTTATCCAATTTTTCCATTTTGATATACCTAAATACAATGCTTCACAACATAAATTTATGCAATGTGCTTGATAAACTTGAGTATGTTCACCATTAAGTGAGATGAAAAAAAGTAACTTTTAAGATTAACTTCGAATAAGTTCTTCCCATACTTTGAGAAATAATATTACTCTCACTGGAAAGTGTAAAATGAATCTTTTTCTAAACACACCAGATGCCACCTAATGCAATTTTCTGTATCACTCACAGTATCTTCCTACCTCTACCATAACAGACTCTAAAAGGATGAATATAGTCCATATTATGAACTGAACCAGAAAGCAAAGTATTTAAGAATTAACAGCATTTAATGATAGGAATTAACACTCTTATCAATTAAAATTTGAACCCAGATAAGAAAAAATCTTATAATGACTCAAAAAATTTTTAAAACACCCCAAGTTCCTAGGTAACAAAAAAGAAAGGCAATAATATAGAATTGAAGTATGGTATAACAACTATTCAAAAATGGATGTTGTTCTCGGTTTTAGGATAGACTAGAGAGAACAAATGAATCATCACTCTATTGACTCTTTCCTGCTCTCATTCAACATCTGTTTACAGCAGCTACAGCCAAGTTATCTGCAGCCATGCAGTTTTCAGACAGAATAAGAATAAACATGTCCTCACTATCCTGAGACCAATTATCCAGGTGCAATTAGAATGAGAGAATTTTTGGTTAGACAATACCTGAAAGGCTATCTATTTTACCCTGCCTGTATTTAAAAACAAGACTGAGGCTCAGAGAGATTAAGTGCCTAGCAATCCAAACAGCTATTTAAAGGCCAAGCAAGGTCTCCAAACAACTTTTCTCAGTTATTTCTATTATATGGGTTGAACCACTGATTCTCCTTCTAAGATGGAATGGGCCTTTGGAAACTTACTAGCTGTGTGATCTTGAGCACACAGCAACTATTCTAAGCTCCCCTTTTCTCTTCTGTAAAGTGTACCGAATACCTACTCTAAGCAGGCTGCTGTGAGGATTACATACAGCTTGTAAAATGCTTAGCACATCAATTAGCAAATAATTAGCATTCAAAACTAGGTAGCTATCATTTTTACTTCTGCCCTGGAAACATGGCTGCCCCTACTGTATTAATTACATTAATACACATTAATGAACATTACGTGTTCATTAATACAATGGACAGGTTCTCATTCACCAGAGCTTCTCTGACCTACCACATTATGCAAACAGGAGAAAACCCCACTCAACAACCTACTTCATCCCATCTAAAATCCACCCTTTACAATATTAAGAAAACAAAATACCAACTGCTGCCAAATGTCTTCTCCACCTGTTGTACATTGAATTTGTAAACCAGAAATTGCAGGAGATTTTTCTGGCTCCGCCCAAAACATGGAGAATAAATAATGGGAAAACAAGGGGAAGATAAGGTCACACACCTGTAATGGAATTCACAGAAGCTTCTTCTCAGCTCATTTAGTTGTGAGTAGATAGGTGGGTGACAGAAAGCAAAACGTTGTCTTTCAGCATCATAAAGCAGGAATAATGGCTACCTCAACAAAATACAATTCCCTAAGCTTTTCAACACAATAGAAAAGAATCCGTGTCCTCGTCCTAGTATATTAATAAGCACACGGGCGATAACTGGGCATCTTTCCCGAAAAACTAAGGACTAAGTTGTATCCGAGCTGCACTACACCCCAGGACTACATAAATACATGAAAACTTCCTAAGAAAGGGCGAGACAAAATGATGGGGAATATCACCCTGAAATCAACGAGGAGGGAATCATGTCGCGCCAAAGGCGTCTCCATTGGTAAAATCCCGACCTTCCATTCTCATGACACTACAAACCCACCTCCCTCTAACGAAATTACAGAATCACCCGCAGCAACCAACCTCAGCATCAGCATCGACCAGATCGACCCCTACTCAAATGGCGCTAAGTACAGTGGATCCAGCCCCTCCCTGGAGCTGCGAAGTCCCGCGCTGACTCAACACTACCTCACTTCCTTCCCATCCTCCCTCCCTTCCTCAACCCCTAGTATTTCTCCCCAAGCCTCGCCATGGCAGAGAAGGTAGTAAGGAGACAGATTTCCTACACTTCGTTAGGGGAGTACCAGAGCCATACCCGTCCCTATTACGATCACATCAAACTCCGAAGGAAGATTATCCGCCATCTTGAAAGGAAACGTGTCATGTGACTATTGCTTGTGGAAATGAGATCTAGTAAGGCATTGCCCTTGTAAAAGACGGAAGGAAAAACAATGCATTCTGGATATTGTAGTTCGTGGGTGACCGATCCAGGTAGGCGGCTACATTTTATTTGAAATGTTTACGTGAATGTTAAAAGCGCAATTTATTTTCTAGGCTGAGTGTAGTAGCGCTTTTAGCCTGGAGGTTTGGGGGTAGTAATGAGATGGAGATTTTTACTCCGCTAGATAGGATGAATGTGAAAACCTGGGTTGTTTTTTTTTTTTTTTTTTCCCATGAAGCAAGAATTGTTGGTTTATATGAAGGCCGGACTGAAATTGAAAGAGGATTGCTCTGTGAACAAAGGAAATTTTCATCGCGGCCTGGAAACTTGTTTACCCCCCCGTGTGTGTGTACTTTCGTTTTGTCCCCTTGAAGCATAATTTTTCACACCAGCCCTTTCAAACTATCCCGTATCTTTTTAGTCTCCGTGTCTCCCCAATGAAAACCCACCAAAAAACCTCTTGCCTTAGTTTTGTCACAATGAAACCTAAATTGCAAATGTATTTGTTCTAGTTAGTCCAAGCAGCCACCCGGCAGTATATTTTTACGAAATTAGCCTTTCTCTACAGGACGGAAAAAAGATATGAAACATAATAGTTGCTTGATAAGCATTTAAATGGTTCTGAGTTTGGTTTTTTAGACGTATACAAGGAGTCCATACAAGATTTTTTTTTTATTCATAAGAGACACAGAGAGAGAGGCAGAGACACAGGCAGAGGGAGAAGCAGGCTCCACACAGGGAGCTGAACGTGGGACTCGATCCGGGGTCCCCAGGATCACGCCCTGGGCGAAGGCGGCTCTATACCGCTGAGCCACGGAGCTGCCCCCATGCAAGATTCTTATGATAAACTGCTGCAGAAGTAATCAAGGTAAAATGACCTTTATATTAAAGTAATTGTGTTTGACAGGGAGGCTTTAGGGGTCATTATGTAGTCATTTTACAAGAGTTTCAAAATAATTCAAAGAGAAAGTGCTAGTAGTAGACCTTCCCTTACACCAACAGTCCTCTGTTTGTGGTTTCTCAGTCACACTGTTTTTCCTTCAGCATGGAATGATTTTCCCATTCTCTAGCTAACATATCCTTAATATTCAGCTCAACTTCTACCACCTCCTCCTTTTATCTCCTCCATCTGTTGGATTAAATTTCCCTATGTAGTGCTAACACCCTATCATAGCCTCCCATACTGCACTGAAATTATTTGCATTTATGGTGGTTCCTATATAGTACACACATCCCCACACATACAAAAATATACACCCAGATATATAATGCCCTAAATTATGAGTCTCTTTATTACAGGAACTGGCCTTAGGTATCTTTTTTACCCACTGCATCTAATATAAGCCTCGTGCTTAGGAATGCCAATAAGTGTTGAACTAAGCTTAGTTCTGACTCCCCTAAATATGAATACAGAGACTAAGTCTTCATCTTTACATCTGCCCATAACTATCATGTGTCTTATATTTTGAAGGTGCTCAATACATGTTGTTATTTTGCTAAGGTTCAATTAAAATTCTTAAAAATTTTATTTTACTGGGGTTGGGTTTTGTTTGGTTTTGCTGCATTTTGCCATGATCTTTAGCAATATTGTACATGTTTCATTAATTTCTTTTATGGATTATCTGAATGTATTGAGCAATTATCTTGGGATATGGTCCTCTGATGAATATTTTGTGTAAGATATTCCTCTGAGAAGTCTAATGTATTGTTCAGTAAATCACTCTGCCATTTGCCTTGATCTGAAAAAAAAGTTTTGAGAAAAGAAAAGTTTTGAGAAAAGAAAGTTTGAGAAAGAAAAAGTTTTGAGAAGCAAAATAGGTCTTATCTATTAATACCACCAGTGGAAATGAAAATTAATAGATTTCCCAGAGTAAACACAGGAAACTTTTCAAAATCTCCTCTATTTATGAGAAGCTATGAATGGTTAAAAACATGATAAATTAAGGTATCTCTATCTTACTTTGGTGATATGTGTATATGTGTGTGTATGTGTGTAATGTATCTTTTTCAATATGAGTATATCTAATTTTCTATAGATTCAGAAACTTTTCTAACAAATAGACACAATGTGAAGACACAACCAATTATTTCATTCAATTTACCTCAAATATTTATTGATTACCTATTATGTGCAAGGCACTGATTTAGAAGCTGGAAATATAGCAATGAGTAAAACAGACAAAAACCCCTGACTTCATAAAGTTTACATCTAGTGGGGTATAAAACAAAATAAACAAATAATATTACTCTGTCATGCTAATTTTCCAATATATTTTCCCCAAATATGAAATCCCTTTTATTCTGAAGCTAGAAAGCAGTACTCTCAGATAAAATTGCCAGCCTATATTTAGCTCTCCTCTAATACACCCTCTCTAAGCATTAAAAATATGATTACATTAGAAAAAATTAAAGCCTATGCATGGAGAAAATGCTCAAAATAACTGTTCTGTCAGATGTATTTTTATAGATTTCCTGTAAAGTAAAGATGAATAGAGGAGTTGATAATGTCAGTAAAATTGCATGAAGCAAATCATCTTAATTGCTGCCTATTCTATTATTCTAAGGACATCTATTTTTGAGAACCGAAATACTTTATTTGGATAGTCACAGTACAATGAGATGATGGATACAAATTGACTTATCCTGTTGAATCACTATGATCCTAGTTCTATACTTACTGGTTTCCTGAGGTGGAAAACTATGATTCCCTGAACATTTACCTTGTATTCAGAAACTTACTTAACTGTGGGATCTGATATGTCATCTTTTTTACAAACCAGTTATTTAATGGTCCTTATCCCTGGGCTTTCCTTTGAGCTCCAGATCCATATACCCAACCCCTTACTCAACATCTCTTCTGAACGTGTCCAATACCAAACTCCTGAACATGTCAGCCCTACTCCCAAACCTGTTCATCCAGTGTTCCCAACCTTAGAAATGGTACCACCTTCTAATCAGTTACTCAAGTCAAAAACCTTAAGAATCGGCCTTGATAAATTATTCTATTTCACTCTTAAACCAATTTCATCAGTAACTCTTGTCAGATCTATCTCAAAGTTATACTGGAAACATGATCCACCTCTCAGTCTGGACTGCCCACATAATCTCTTCCCTAGACTACTACAATAGATCCCAACTGGACCTCTCATTTATACTTGCATCTCTTCAGTCCACTGTCTACACTGCAGGTAGAGTAAACTTTTAAAAATTCAAATATAGGGGCACCTGGCTGGCTCAATTGGTGGGGCATGTGACTCTTGGTCTGAGTTGTGAGTTCCAGCCTCACGTTGAATATAGAAATTAGTTTAAAATAATAACTTTTTTTACAAAAATTCAAATGTAATTATGCCCTCCCCTCCCCAAAACTCTCATGATTTCCCATTGCTCTTAAAATACACCCCAAAACTTTAAACATAATCTAAAATCTTTGCTGAACTCTCCAGGCTCATCTCATACCTCTCATCCTTCTCTTTCTAAGCTCCAGCCATATTGACTCTCAGTTTTGTCGGATACATGCTCCTTCATGCTTCAGGACCTTCATTCTTATTATTCCATGCGCCTGAGGTGCACTTTTGTCCTTCTCCCTTTCTCCTAGTTGAATCCTAATCATTTTGTAGTTCATTTGAAACATCACTTTTTCTGGCAAGTCTTCATCTAGTCCTCAGTCTGCCTTACATCTCCTACCACCCTATATTCTTCCTCTGTTAAACTTTTCATGATTGGAAATATCAAATTACTTATGCAATTTCTTATTTCATATCTGTTATCCTCCTAGGACATAAGTTACAGAAAGGCAAAGACTGTACCTATACTGCTCACCATTATATTTCTAATATATCATTCAGTGCCTAGCACATAATAGGCACTCAAAAATATCTGCTGAAATCCCACTTCTGGGTATATATTCAAAGCAAATAAAATCACTATCTCAAAGAAATATCTGTACTCCCATGTTCATTCCAACATTATTCACAGTAGCCAATATATGGGAACAACTTAAGTGTTACATCAATACATGGATACACACACATTATTCAGCCCTTAAAAAGAAATTCTGTTGCTTGTAATAATATGGATGAATCTGGAAAATTTTATGCTAAAGAGAAATATGCCAGACACAGAAAGACAAATATCACATGATCTCATTTATACATGGAGTCTCAAAAATATGTATTTTTAAGTCAAACTCATAGTAACAGAGAGTAGAATGGTGGTTACTAGAGAAAGGCTGGGAGTATAGGAAACGGAAACATTGATCAAAGCATACGAAATTTCTTTGTAACAGGAATAAGTTCTGGAGATGTAATGCAAGCATGGTGAATATAGTAAAAAATGTATACTTGGAATTTACTAAGATTATAGATCTCAAGTGTTCTTACCACCAAAAAAGATAACTATGGGAAGTGATAGATATGTTAGTTTGTGCTAATCATATCATATATATCAGAACATTGTATACCTTAAATATATAAAATTTTTATTTGTCAAAAATAAATAAATTTTTAAATCTCTTGATTAATGAGTAAATAATAAGGTACAGGAAATCATCAGGACACAATACATAAGTACTATTTTAAACGGGAATAAAATGAGTTGATTGCCCAGTAAACTTGTTTAATCAGCTGGTTTTGTGTCTATAATGGAATAATACATATGTGGTTAATAAACAATCCAACTAGCACAAAAGTCATACAAAGACTAATAAAACTAAGAAGTATCTCTACCCTGCTATCCCTGCCCCCAGGTGGTGTTTCTCGGAGATAAGTGCTGTTATCCCTTTCTTGTGAATCATGCTAGATGTTATGTATATGTATGCATGTGGGTGTATAAGGGAAGCAGTAATCCCTTTATTTCTTCTTTGACAATAAATAGTGTGCTATAAACATTATTCCTTACCTTCCAACTATATTTTTTACTTAATATATTTGGA